GATGCACCCATTGTTGTAGATGGGGCCTTTGAGATTTGAAGTCGAGTCGTTGCAGGGCTTCGCCAAGTTCTCTTCCCTCTAGTTGCAACACCAAATTTTGAATTTCTTGAGTGTAGTATATGTTTTCTCTGCCTAACAACATGTGTTTTCTAATTTCTCTGTAGGTAAAGATTGTTGGTGATTCAAGGCTATTACACCATAAAATAGTTGAGTCTTCCTGAATAAATTTTTTTCTTCAAGATATCCATACAGGTTGCTTGGTATTTTCTTGAATATGTTGTCTGCCTTAGTTATTTGACTTGGTAATTTATTTATTTGACTTGCCCTAGTTATTTATTTAAGAACTAGTTTTTGTTTTTTTATAAGAACCCATGCTTTTTAAATTAAGGATTAACCTAAAAACCTTGCATTACACGTACTATAAATAAAACTTGGTAACGAAAGACATGTCATGTAATTTGTGCAACCTATAAATATTCTTTCAAGGTTTTTCTTTGTTATAAAACTTGAAAGAATCATTGGGTTATCTGTTCAATAATGTGTGTTTATATATATAACAAAGTATATAGAAAAAAGTAATTGACATTCAAAAATAAATTCGTACTTTTAGTAGACTTATAAAATGGGTTGTTCGAACTTGTTTGGAAGACCAAAGTTTAAAATTCATTTTAGGTCAAATCGATTTTCATATAGGGCATTATTTTTTTTCTTTATTAGTTTGATAGGTGAGACTAAATTAAACCATCTTTTCTTTCTTTTTGCATATATTTATGTATTATTATAAGAAAGAAAAAAAAATATGAGATGGGCTAGTTAACTTTTCAGTAAATATTTTCGTAGTCTAGTCCACTTGTATGACCAATCAAACCAAAATAAAATAATTTTGTTTTTATTTCATCTCAAAATAAAGAATATATTCTAATTTGATTTGACCCACTAAATAGAGGTGTAAAAAAGTCAGGCACTTAAAACTCATACTTGTTTTATGAGAAAAATTGTTTGTTTAAGTTTGACTCATTTTATTTGATTGAATCTCATTAAAAACTTGAACTTAATTTATTTATAAAAAAAATAAGTTTGAGTTTGACTTGTTTAACTCATTTTTTAACTTAATTATTTTTACTTTTACAAAAATAAAATTTAAATTTTTATATTCAATATATTTTTTAATTTTTTAACTAAATTTTCAATCTTTTCTGATTTTTGTAATTAAATCTTATATGTAAGTTAGCTGTTTCAGATACCGATCATTAATATAAAAAATTTGATTACAAAAATAAAAAATGCAACTATAATTTTTTTTTTACCATTCATAAATCTATTTAAAAATATAAGAGAATATCAGAAGAAATAGATGTGTTAAACCTATTATATATATATATTAAGTATGAAAATAACTAACAAAATTTAGACTTAAAATAGGTGATATCTATGACATCAACTAATAACAAGGAATGTAATTATTAAGGGTTGGAATCCTAGATCATCATAGCCATATTTGAGATAGACCCATCTTGACCAATATATATGCCCAACTATTCCCTTCATGAAGGGTGTGGACAAAAGTGATGTTCCAATCTTGATGTTTAAGCTCCTAAATCTTATTTATGATAGTAGTATAAGGATAAAATGAAGTATCCTAAGCAATGAGTTGAAGGGAAAATAATGAGTCTGATTCACATAGGAGATCACAAATATTCATGTCCCAAGCAAACTGTATAGAGGCTTGTAGCCAAGCCGCATGAACCTATAAAGCCTTTTATCCATTCTCCAACTTAATTACGTAAGAGACCTTCATAACCTGCAAGTCTTAGGTTGCCTATGGAGCTACCATCCATGTTAAGTTTAAACACATGTTCTGGAGGGTGAATCCAAGAAATTATTCTCCCTAACGAACATGTTGTAGAAGTCAATGGATCACCTGATATAATATCATGTAACAATCTTATTTGATTTATCGTAAATCATATTGATCACTTCACATTGTCTATAGTTTTCGCATTCTGAGCACGCCAGATAAACTAACAAGCGCGCAAGCTATCAATAAGTGATGTTGTCCCTACATGTGGTGCTTGAGCCATTAAATTTTGTTTTGGATATTGAAGTCAATTACACTAACAAGATTGAGTTTCCTCCAGATGTTTATAACAATAGGACGATCCTGAAGCATATGGAGAAGGGACTCCTCGAGAGCTTCACACCTATAACAAGAGCAAACAATAGCTACATGTCGCTTAAGGCGAAAAAGGTTAATGGACATGCTTTCGTGGAAGGCAAGCCATAAAAATAATTTGATATGTTCTGGTAAAGAGGTCTTCCAAACGCAAGACCAATTCCCTAATAAGGAGGAATTATTGGCAGGCTCGTAGATTAGGCTCTGGAAGGCAGAATTGGCAGTGTAACAACCTATACTATAGTAGCTCCAAATAATTTTATCCTTAGTATTAATGTCCAAGATGATGTTTATCATAATTTGTTTGATATCCTGTGAAAGTTGCGTGTGCATGACATCCCACCTCCATTCACTGTTGACCAACACGTCTTTGGTACACAAATGAGAATTGTTTTCGTGAACTAACTCCACCTGGTTAAATAGTAGTCCCTCATCCAGCCATTTCTCAAAAAATAGATAGATGTCACCTCTCCCTACTCTATATTTGAAGCCATCCTCGAGAAAGTCATTCGTAGGCATCAAAGATCTCCAAGTGTAGGAAATACCTTTGTTAACAACACTGCTCATAACATTTGAATCCCTTAAGTATTTATTCCTCAACATGCGCACCTAGAGCTTGTTTGTGTGGTGATACAAGGACCAAATATGTTTCCCAATGAGTGCAATATTTGTCTCTCTAGATCGGTTAAGTGACCTTATCCAATCTTACCCAATGGGAAGAAGGTTTGCCCTATATATAAAACTACAAATGGAATTGTCAATTTTATCGTAAAAGCCCTAAGGGAGCCAAAGGTTTTACATGGTGTAGGTCAGGATGGAAGACAAAACAACCTTGGCTAAGGTGACTCTACCAGCTCGATTTAAGGTATTAGACTTCCAACCTGTTAGCTTGCCATTGATTATGTCTAAAATATGGGAAAAATCATTATTGCAAACTCAACCTTTAAGCAAAGGAAATCCTAGATTTTTACCCAAATCCATAATGTGGTGGAAGTGAATAATATAAGCGAACTTGGAAATCTACCTTCTAGATATATTACTTGAGGTGAAAAATCTAGATTTCTGGATGTTCACTTTCAAGCCAGAAGCCTTGCAAAAAATATCCAAAACCTCCTTGACAAGCTTAACCTGACCACAAGTTGCTTTGGTGAACAAGAGGCAATTGTTTGCAAAGAAAAGGTGTGATATTTCTGGCCCTCCTTGTGACACCTTAATTGATTTCCAAACTCTGTTAGAGACCTTTTATTGAATTAGTATGGCAAGTTTTCCATGCATAGAAGAAAAAGATACGGAGAAAGAGGATCCCCTAGTGTTTAAGCCCCTATTTGGTTGAAAGCCCTCCAAAATCTCGTTGTTTGACTTTAGAGCCAAGGAAGTTGAACAAGTGCAATTCATGATCAAGTCAATAGTTGAGGAAGGAAACCCAAACTCCATCAAGGTTAGATGTAGGAAGTCCCAATTAACTTTATCATAGGCTTTCTCAAAGTTTATTTTGAATAACAGAGAACCAACCTTACCTTTTGTCTTCATATGCATATGGGGGACAATTTCTTGGACAATAAGGGCATTATCAGCGATGCCTCTATTAGGAATAAAACTAATCTAAAAAGGACCAATGATGGAATCCATATGAGGGCGGAGTCTGTGAACCAATATCTTGGAAATAATCTTGAAGAGAACATTGCACAAACTAATGGGCCGAAATTCCTTCATAGAAGTAAGCTTATCAACCTTAGGAATATCAACAATCAAGGTCTCAGCTAATTGGCGAGGAAAGGTACTAGTAGTAAATGTTGTTCGAAGTAGATCGCACACCTTCTGTCCAACAATTTCCCAGTAAGTCTTATAGAAAATAGGTTGGAAACCATCAGGACTAGACATCTTATAAGGGCTCATAAAGAATACAACACTTCTCACCTCCTCTATAGACATTGGTCTAAGCAGAGCATCCATTGTAGCCACATTAATAGGATTAATGTTCTAAAGTTGTAAAGTATGAGGGGCACAAGACTCATTTGAAGTAAAAAGTCTCTTGAAAAAATCTAAGCCTCTTCCTTCAAAACATTCACATCAAAGTACCAAGTCCCATCCACAAACAAACCAGTGATATTGTTTCTTCTCCTTCGAATAAGTCTATTTAAATTTATTTTATTTAATATCTCATGCTCTATATCAAATTTCAACGATTCAATAGTTAAGTTTATTTTTTTAATGCATTAATCAAGCTTACAAAGTTTTAAAAGATTTAAAAATTATTTAATATTCTATTTCATTAACCAAATTAACGAATAATCATAAAAACATTTTATACATTGATTTGAATTAATGAAACAAAATATCAAATAATTTTCAAATTTTTTAAATTTGCAAACTTGATATATAAATTAACAACTTTTAAATCAATGGTCGAATCGTTAAAATTTAATATAAAACATGAATTATTGAATGAAATAAATCTAAATAGATTTATTATTAGAGTGCGAAAAACCCTTCTCTTTATATATTATTACATATATTTTGTAGAAATTATTTTCATATAATTATTTTATATTTGCATGTATTTTCTAGAAATTATTTACATATTATTTTATATATATATTTTTTGTATTATACCATAGCGAGTGTTACAACGATAAGATCGTTTCCTATAATGGGGTTATATATACTAGTGTAATAAAGATACTATTTGTTTTCGTGTATTTTTTTAAAAAATATTATAACACTGTGTGAAATAATTTTTGAATAGTTATGATTATAAAGATATAATAAAAGTGATAATTTAGTGGGTTAATACTTAATAGCATAGATGGTAAACGAGAAAAGCGAGGGTCTCACTCTCAGATAAGTTAAGTTTGTGACTGACTGCTACACACTACACTCCACAATTCCACTTACAATTAACCATTTAAAACGTCTCTCTTCTCTTCTCTTCCTCTTTCTCTCCGCCGACACCGTAACACTTTGCGGTGGCCGTTTCCACCTCCGCCGCTTCAAACGCACCTTCAGGTATTTCCTTCTCATTTCCCATTTCTATACCAAATCTAACCCTTTCATTTCGATCTTCCACTTTCGCATTGCTTCCATTCCTCACTTTTACCTGTCGCCATTATTTCTCCTTAATGACAACACTGCACTTGCTCTTCTTCTCTGATAAATCCCAAACCAATTATGCTTTAGGGCTAGTCTTTTCGAATTCTGGAAAGTTGCTACCGAAATCATTCTTCCTTTTTCAATTTTATGCTGTTTGGATTAACTGGATTTTTTTTTTGTAATGTCAGGGATTCAGAATGATAGGATCCTTTCTTACCTGGGCGCTTGTGTATGTTCTTTGCTGTTCCAAATTTTCGATCTTTTTTTTTAATTATTATTTTTATGTGAATGGTTTTTGTTGTAATGTTTGAAACTCAACCGTTTTGTTTGGTCTTTTTGATGGGTTGACAGGATGGTCTTTGGCTATGCTTATCCAGCTTATGAATGTTATAAAGCAGTTGAAAAGAATAAGCCAGAAATTGAACAGCTTCGCTTTTGGTGCCAGTATTGGTATATGCATTTGCCATGTTTGGTTCACCTCTTTGCAAGAGAATTAATTATTTTGTTTTCAAGAGGTTGCTTGAAACAAAACAAAATATGCGAATTTTCCCCTCCAGATGGAGCTAATTCAAACACTTACATTATAGATTGATTGTTTGTTTGTGCTTAACTTAGCATGATAACTTCCGTTGACAAGTACTGATGCCAACTTTTTTTTTTTTTTTTCCTGTGTTGTAGGATTTTGGTGGCTGTTTTGACAGTATGTGAGAGGGTTGGTGATACTTTTATATCATGGTAGAGGATTCTATCTTGGATGTGTTCAGAGAATGCTTAATCTGCTTTCCTTGTTGAAAAAAAGTTTATTGTGATTTCTTATTTTTTAACTGATTTTTTCATGAAGGGTCCCAATGTACAGTGAAGCTAAGTTAGCATTTTTCATATTCCTGTGGTACCCTAAAACTAAGGTATAAAATTATTTGCTATGGTAGAGAATATGATATTAACTTCTTGTTTTCTTCTCTTCAATATGACCGTAAAACTTAATTTTGTGTTAGGGAACAACATATGTGTATGACTCCTTCTTTAGACCCTATGTTGCAAAACATGAGCCTGAAATTGATCGCAATTTGTTGGAACTGAGGACAAGGGCAGGGGATATTGCAGTTTTGTATTGGCAAAGAGCTTTCAGTTATGGTCAGACTAGAATATATGACATTTTGCAATTTGTTGCAGCACAATCAACTCCATCACCTCGCCCTGCTCAGGTAGTTCATTATGATTATGCATTGGTTGTGTTTGCTATTATGTTTGAGTGCAACTTAAGGATGCAAGAATAGCAATTATCAGCTTTCTTATATGTGCCGCTTACCCTTATTTCTGTTTTTTAATGCCGAGATTTTTTTGTATGCATAATTACATTTAAATGTCCCAGACAGAACAATGACATGCCTGTTTAAACGATCAATCTAGGAAGCAGATATATTTTGCACAATTAAAGAAACTAATACCTGGAATTATTCCCATTTTTCTAAAGAAAGAGGAAAATATTGTAGTAAGGAACTAATATTTCTTTTCTCCATGATACTGTTGAAGATACCACTATTTCGTTCCATGTTTGTATGTTGTTAAAAGTTATATACTGTTAATACTCATTTGTGAGTTGTATTTTCCAGTTTGTAGATTAATTAATTGTTGATTGGTCATTGAGGAGGATATTGCTTTGTTCTTTGCTGCATCGTATGCTATCTTTGAGGGCTTTATCTCATTCTTTATGCATACTCATGAAACAATACACTGTCTCTTGAAACCACAGCCACGACCAGGTGTGAAGGTTCGCCAACAAGCACCTACAAATCGCCAACCAGCTGCTGCAGCAGAACCACAAGTTGAGGAACCTCCATCTCCCACCTCTAGCACATCTTCAAGTCAGATCCAAAGGGAGGTAGAAGAAGAATTAGGTACTCCAAAAGTGCCTAAAGCAGCCATATCTGCAGCAGGTTTAAGTAACCAGAAGACTCCTGTAACAGGTTTAACTACTCAGAAGTCTGCTGGAGCAGTTTTGAGTACTCAGAAGTCTAATCCTGCACCCGAAACAACCAACCAATCTGCAGCAGCAGAGGCAGAGCCAAAACAGATTGAAGCAGCACCATCTTCTTCATCCTCTTCAGCAAAAGAAAATGGGAACCCGCCTACTCCCACCAAAGAGACCATGATGGAAGAAAGCATTCGGGTTACACGTGGCAGACTAAGAAAAACCCGATCAGCAGGA